GCCGCCGTTCCTCCCGGGGTGTCGCAGCCGCGGCTCACCCCGCCCGACCGCAGGCACAGGACCCAGGAGCCCGCCAAGCCGCGGCGCTTTGATGTCGCGCGGCCACACGGTGGCGCTGCCGCACCGCCCGCTGGCCAAGACTGGGGCGCCCCGGGCGGAGCCAGGCCTGGCCTTGTGCGTCCCCCGCCACCGCCAGGGGGCTAGTCCCAGGGGTCGGGTGGGCGGCCGAAGGGCCCTGAGGTAAGGGGAGGGTCATTGCGTTTTCTCCTTCTGGCCACTCCACATTCACTTACACAGAACCTTAGGGCTTTTATGGCCCTCTGGCCTTCCTCTGCAAGCAGGGAAACTGAGGCGGAAGAGCTAGGACTCCTGGTGTAGGCTCAGCTGAGAGGCTTTAGCCAAGCCACTTGTCCTAAAAGAGAAAAGGGCACAACTAAGGGGAAGAGAAGGAACCACAGGGATTTCTTCCCAGCGAGATCCTGACCTGCAGGGAGGGCTGTACTTTACATCCCCGTGCACACGCGAATACACACAGACAGAAAATTGAGAACACACTATTTTCTTTTTTGTCTTTTGTACTATGCATTGTCTACATTTCTTTCTTTCCATGTTGGGTGTGATCTGCTACAGTGATCTCACCACTCACAAGCCGGCCCTCAGCTACCCTTTGAAAACAGTGCTACACAGGTGCCCTGCCGGCCAGCCGGGAGTGGAAAGGTCCATACACGAGGCCAACGTGGCCATGCAAGGTGCGGGGAGACTGAATCTTCACGAATAGCCTGAGGATGCCTTAACGGCCATTCTGACTCGGTGGGTCTGATTCCCGCCTCTCTAGCAAATTCTACAGGAGTGCTGACCACCCCTGCTCAGAGTGACTCAGTCTCCACAGCCTCATCATCAAGCACTTTACAAGGAAAGCTGTTCTGAGACTAAATTCTGCCACACACACAAGCATCAGCTGGTAAGTAGGCACAAAAGCTGGAGTCGGCCTGTTCTTGTCCTCTGAACCGTGAGGTAATGAGTCACTGTTGAGTCAGGGACCTCCTGGCTGTTCTTCACCCAGGGTGGTATGAACCCATGGGACCTAAGCAGAAGAGATACAGGCAACTCATAGTGGCCTTCCAAGGGATAGCCCCAGTAAAAGATGATCTAAAGCTTATAGGCAGGACCAGCAGATGGCAAAATGGCTATGTTGCTGGACTCCCATGCAGTTGCCCATGGTTCGAGTCCTGGATCTAGTGGCTTAAACTCAATGCTGGGCGCGTGTACATGTGTGCCCAAGGTTCTGAGAGGAGAATGGAAGAGAAGGGATTGCAGCATGGCCATCCCCTTTGGGGGGTTATTTTTTTGCTTTCTGTCTCTCTGTCTTTCTCTTTCTGGTGAGTGCATGCGCCCTATAGCTAAAACCTCTCAAAAAAAAAAAAAGTGATAAAAACTTATAGGCCAACTTAAACTACAAGCTGAGTGTTTCTGAGTTTCCTTTTTTCCCTTCTGACAAGCAGGAAAATAGAAATGCCTATAACTCAGCTCTGATCCTACAGACAAGGGAAATGTCATAGAGCTACAAGATGGAAGGACCCTGGATCCCTGGATCACTGCATGGAGCAGAGCTGCCCCATCGACTAGGATCTGTCACCTAGAGATAGTTATTTGAGAGAGAAATAAATTGTCTTATTTATTATTATATTTTTAGAGGCTGACGAGCTTCCTCCAGCCTCTTTTTTTTTTTTTTGAGAGGTT